TTATAAAACTACTATTTATATGAACTAAGGTTTACAACAACTAAGATTTATAAAACTACTATTTATATGAACTAAGGTTTACAACAACTAAGATTTATAAAACTACTATTTATATGAACTAAGGTTTACATCAACTAAGATTTATAAAAACTACTATTTATATCAACTAAGGTTTACAACAACTAAGATTTATAAAACTACTATTTATATCAACTTAGGTTTACAACAACTAAGATTTATAAAACTACTATTTATATGAACTAAGGTTTACAACAACTAAGATTTATAAAAACTACTATTTATACCAACTAAGGTTTATAACTACTATTTATATGAACTAAGGTTTACAACAACTAAGAATTATAACTACTATTTATATGAACTAAGGTTTACAACAACTAAGATTTATAAAAACTACTATTTATAACAACTACGGCTTACAACAACTAAGATTTATAAAAACTACTATTTATATCGACTAAGGTTACCACAACTAAGATTTATAATAACTACTATTTATAGCAACTACGGTTTACAACAACTACTAGTTATAACAAGTAAGGTTTACAACAACTAAGATTTATAATAGCTGCTACTTATAGCAACTACTATGTATAAAAACAACAACTATTTATTAAATCTATAGTATGTAACAACCACTTTGATAATAATTATTTTTTGTCACAACTGCTACTTATAGCAACTACTGTTTACAATAACTACTATTTATTAAATCTATAGTTTGTAACAACCACTTTTATAATAATTATGGTTTATCACAACTTCCATTTATAACTACTACGGTTTACAACAACTACTGTTTAGAAGAACTACTGATTAACAAAAGGTAAATACTTTGAAGATACTCATGTTTGTTGTTTGAAAATCATCTTTCCTGCAACAATAGTACGAACTTTCAATGTAAGTGTAATGATAAATGTGGAAAGCTTGAATCAGATTTTACGTAGGAAGTATATCATCTATAATTTTCTAGTAATAAGATGAAATCTGAATAACTAATTCTATGTTTCACATAGAGAATAAACTACGACCAACAGGAATAATCTTGTTGGTAAATTATCTTGTTGTTTTCTGTACGGTTTTAAACAGAACCTCCAATAAGGATTTCACAAAGTTGCAAAATCGCCTTTCGTTAGAATTCCCCCCCCCCCACACTGTGTTACGACTGTTATCTTGCCAGTTCCCTATCAGATTTGTTGTAGAATTACGCAACATTCAGTAAATCCTGTTCCTGATAAAAAATCTCAAACATACCTTTCCCCTGGCTGCTGATTACAAACCATCTAGCAGGAAAACGTTATATTATGAATACTAGTATTAACAACTTGAAGTGAGATATCCACCATCAAATACTTAGCCTTTTGCAGATTATGTAGATCACATCTGCATGTATTCACACAATTTGCAAGAGTTGAGACACAAAGCTTAAGTTGGGTTTAAAAGCGACGAACACCAGTCTTCTAGCTTTTGTATACTATTTGTTTGAGTATCATAGAGTTATGGAAAGGTCTGGACCAGGTCTGAGTGGGTTTTTATGTTGTAACTATTGTGTGTTTTATTATTATTTTTTTCAATTTGATTACTGGGCTACCGGTATTCTAAATATTAGTGTTCTGGTATGTATTTTATATTCGTTTATATCTGCTTTTACACTTTTAATACAGGTGTACTAGTCTTGAAAATATTCTAATGTTATTAAAAAATTCCTCCTTTTTCAGATACTTTAGTTTAACTCCATCAGGTATTGTTTACAGAAATACAAATGTATATAAACACAGAATGTATGGGAGACAGCATCCTCGATAGTGTTTAAACAATACCTTATTGAGAATTATTCAAATTGTGTACTTCTATAATAAATGTTGTTAAGGTGCTCGCCAAATTTCGTATATAAAATGTATGCATCTTTTTAATGTTTAAGCTTCTAAATAACGGAAAGTAATATCATGACGTCATTTTGGTCCGTTTCTAAACTTCCTCTTGCCTCACATGTACGCAATGTTTTGTAATGTTGACAAAGTGGGTGTAGTGAAGATGTGTGATGATAATAAAGTTCGTAACCAGCTTGTTTTGACGTTCTGTTTATACACTTACCTTGAAGTCTGATATCGCAATGCACCTGTAATGAAACGTACAACTGGCATGTGCTTAACTGTCAGGTAAAATCGTGCTTTTTTTTAAAAGTTAAATAAAAATAACAATGATGCAGTTGCTTTTGTGGGCGAATTTTATCTGGCTTAAAATACAAATAATCATTAGTTACTTTTTTATTTTAAGAATAAAATATAGCTAAATTAAAAACAAAAATTAAATAGAACGTTTCTAAGTTATGGCAGAGGATGCCAGGCAAAACAGGCGTGTCCTTGTGAGTAAAATGTGTAAAAAAACAACCTGTTACACGTATTTATATTTTGTATTTATGGCAAACTGTTAAGTCTATCTGCCGCTGTCCTTAGTTTTGAACTACTGGCTATAGGAAAAGCTAGTCAGCAGCATCCTATCATCCACTATCTCTAATAAGAGATTGATACTCACGCTTTTAAAGCATCCACAGCATAAAGTTCGATGATTATTTTGTGGCGTCACGCGAATTCGAACCCGGATCACCAGCTCCGAAGTCAGAGCTCTTTCAAAGAGAACCTGTGCTAGTTTGTTACTTAGTATAATAAAACATAATATATATACATATGTGTGTGTGTGTAATAATTTATAGCGTGGCCCACTGGTTTATGTGTTAGACTGTGAATCCCTAAGGGTCCATGTTTCCCGCTCTGATGCCGATTTCGCAAAATCGTTCTCCGTACGTGGGGGCCAAGGATGCATTATAAGTGTGGCAATCAAATCCTAGTTAGTGTTGGGTGCTGTTGACTATGTGCCTTAATCTTAGGCTATCAATTCAAATTAATTAGAAGCGGCTAGCCCAAGTAGCTGTTGTTTAGCTTTGCCCAAATATCTGAACCCAACAAATAATTTCTCTTTAGTGATCAAGACTCATTTTTTAAAAATTATTTCTGAATATTATTAAAGGTTTAAGGTGGTTAAATCTGTAATTACAGAAAAGTGTGTCAGATACAACTTTAAGCAATTGAGCTAACACAATTTATAGCATATTTCATTTGCCTAGTCCATTGTCTGAGAAGCTTAGTACCCGATATTTATCTGTCTTACCCACTGTCTGACACGTTTAGTATCCGATTTTTATCTGCCTTATATACTGTCTGACACGTTTAGTACCCGATCTTTACCCATCTTATCCATTGTCTGACACACTTAGTAGCCGATATTTACCTGCCTTATCCACTGTCTGACACGTTTAGTACCCGATCTTTACCTATCTTATCCATTGTCTGACACACTTAGTACCCGATCTTTACCTGTCTTATCCATTGTCTGACACGTTTAGTACCTGAACTTTACCTGCCTTATTCACTGTGTGGCACACTTAGAACCCGATCTTTACTTGCTTTATCCATTGTCTGACACACTTAGTACCCGATATTTACTTGTCTTATCCACTGTTTGACACACTTAGTACCCGATCTTTACATATCTTACCCACTGTCTGACACGTTTAGAAACCGATCTTTACATGCCTTATCCATTTTCCGACACACTTAGTATCCGATCTTTACTTGCCTTATTCACTGTGTGGCACACGTAGTACCCGATCTTTACCTGCCTTATCCATTGTCTGACACGCTTAGTACCCGATCTTTGAGTAATTCTATATTGAGTATCCGTTATAAATTTGTTCTAATTTCAATTTATCTAGAAAAACGTATATATGTTTGAAAGACAAGACAATATCTATACTAAATTAGGAAAAAAAGACAGACGATATATGCAGACCAACGATAATTCTGAATTTTTATAACACGTCCAGGAAAAAAAAAACTACCAGCGAGCTAAAGTGACTTGTTCGCCTATTGTTTCATGTGTCAGTGCTTTTCTATAAATCTTGGGTATAGTTGATAGTGAACTGAACCCCCCACCCCTTCTACCACACCCACACACAGTTATATTATATATATATATATATATATATATCAATGTAGTTCTGTTTGAAGCAAACTTAAATAGTCCAAGCTTAATCGTGGTTGCGTTATAAAAGTGGCATTCAACCCAATACCCAGTTAAGAGTAGCCGCCTAAAGAGGCAGGTGCTGTGGCATGGTTGCGTTCTTTTCAGTCGAGAGTTCACAATTAGAGACGGCTCTTCTTGAGCCATAGGGTCTCAAATATTTAGTCCATTATACACATAAGAAAGACGTCGTTAGGTCAACAGACAAAGCAAACTTAAACCTTTGAATTTTATTACATATATTAAAAACTCAGTTTTTGAAATTTACAACTAAAAATTCAGTGCTCAGCTTACCGACTAAAATCCAGGTTTATATAATAATGTTTCCTGTTAATAAGTCTTTAAAACGTGTTAAAATGAAAAGCAAAAATTCTTCGCAATTAGTGAGCAATATACAACACTTTATATATATATATATATATATCTTGTTTGCGTTTTCAGATATTCATATATATTCATTTATTAATAAACAATTCAAAATTTATGAAAGAAAAACTTACCGCTTAATTACGACTAAGAAAGATTAATACTGTAACACACTGTTCTCACGAATGTTTTAAAGCAGGAAAATATAAAACTCGAGAACTTTGACTCGTACACCGCTGTCTACTGATATTGTCGCTAAGGTTACGCACGTTCTTTTTCTACTGGGAAACCAACCAGCATTACCAGCACGTGGTTCAGTGACGCATTTCAACGTAACGCGCCGAATACAAAAGTAAACGTTTATTGGTTAAAGCCAATAAAACGGCAAGAATTTCCTTGTTGTTGAGAAATAAAGAAACATGAATTTCATCCTTTGACTTCCGGTGTCTTTAGAAATAAATTTCTTGGTTGTTTCTTGGTAAATTAGTGGAAAGTTTCAAAGAATCTGACTAACTGGGCAATATTCGTGGAAAACAGTAGAGTGTAAGTGAATATAACAACACACAAATAAAAGAGAATGCTTCAGACAAATCTATAAAAATTCTTACTTAAAAAAGTAAAATTCAAAGTATCTATTCTTCCATACTTTGTTAGTGTTCTCGTGTTTGTTTGTAATTAAGCGCAAAGCTACACAATGGGCTCTGCCCACTGCGGGTATCGAAACCCGGATTCTAGCGCTGTAAGTCCGCAGACATACCGCTGTGCCACTGGGTGGCCTCGTGTTTGTAAACCACGCTAACGTAGTTAGTATAAAATGCACTTCTTCTGTCTTTAAATTCAAAGCCAAAAGTCTATATAAAAGTGGAAATGTGCCCTATTTCAAGGGGCTTTTTGTTATTCCGTTCTCGGATATTACTCCTAAAACAAGATAGCCCTTATACACCGTCGGGCAATTTCTAGTTACCATACAAAACTTACACTAATCGAGCCAGCCAGCTCCGGGTGATGGATGTTAAAACGCACGCAAACACATAATAGATCATCTTTATATTGAAATTAACTTCAATTGCTAATATATAAAAATATCATTGCTTGCACACTTTTTCTGCTATTATAATTTTAGAATTTTCAACACTCAAAACTCTTAACTAGAATGGATTCAACATCAATTAAAGGATAAAATGATGCGACAAGGATACTCAGATACATTAGTTAATGGACACCTGTCAGAAGATAGGAAAGCTTGATATTAAATCAGATAAACTTATATTCAATGATAATTATAACTTACAACCACATTACTTCACCAATTTGCAGGTTTCGCCAGTATTAGGTTTAGAACTTTAGAAATCTGGCTAATTATTCTGCAGTTCAGTCTATTGAATGACAACATCATCCAATGTCTTATAAATACTTCAGTTACAATGATTTAAAACGAAGGCAAAATTGTTATTTAACGAAGTAATGACATTGAACTTTCATTATGAACTTTCTGATTGTGTATTTCCAAGGCATGTTCCATATTGTTCCGTTACACTGAGGGCTACAGAGGTTAATCGCACGTTATATGAACGATGTTTCAGGTCCCTACTACTTTTGGAGTTACTTCCTCCGTCATCGATCGTACTCAGTTCAATGACATGAATACACGCCATGACTGACACCACAACTTCCACTGTGACATGCTTTTGTGAAAGACGGCGAAGTAAATCTTAGACATGATTTTTTCATCCTTCCTCTGTACTTAGACTTCGATTTACAAGACCATTTTGAAACAGAACAAAAGCAAAATGTTCATTGGTTTGTGGTTGAATAGGATTGCTGTGGTGCTTCTAAGGACTTGACAGGTACTTGGTTGAATATGATTGCTGTGATTCTAATCCATTGGTGCTGCTTCTAAGGACTTGACAGGTACTTGGTTGAATATGATTGCTGTGATTCTAATCCATTGGTGCTGCTTCTAAGGACTTGACAGGTACTTGGTTGAATATGATTGCTGTGATTCTAATCCATTGGTGCTGCTTCTAAGGACTTGACAGGTACTTGGTTGAATATGATTGCTGTGATTCTAATCCATTGGTACTGCTTCTAGGGACTTTACAGATACGTAATTCCAGTTTCATCGGCTTTAATTCTTATGATAACAGTTGCTGAATTTGAGACGCAGCTGGAAGCTTGTGAACTCTTGGTTCGTCAGCCTTCGTAGCTTTAAATCCTAGGTATTATAGATATTAGTAAATATGCCAGCTTTTTCACCACAGTTTTATGGGTAGAAGGGTTTCTTTTGTAACCCTTTGGACATTTTTTTTTTGCTCCCATGGAGAACATCGAAAGCCCCCCCCTGTCTTTAAAGTGTCAAGTGTTTTGAGCTAAATCATTAAATAATATCACTGAATGAATAAATGCCCTTCGAAAGGACTGAAACTGACGTCTCAGGCTAAAATTTTTTTTCTGGCGATACCGCACTGTCGAATAGTCCGGAATCTTCAGTAACTAAATATATAGATGCTAAATATGTCGTCCATATTACTGTAGCTCATGTTTGCGGAAATTCGCTATTGAATTAGAACACTTAAATTTATATACTTATCGTCGACTCGAGAGACAAATCAATAAACATTTGTAAATAATAAACTCATATGAGTTTTCGCATCTTTTATTCATGTACACATAAATTAACAAAAAACTACCTTATTCACCATCATACTGTATTAGAAATAAGTATGAAAACAGTGGGGGAGAGGAAATAAAGTGAAAATACTATAGGAATACCACCCTTTTGTCGTGTGTAAATGAGCTGCGCTAGAGTATAGTCACAATTTGATAGCTTAAACTGTTATCAATCAGAAAGTACAATGATATAATTACCTATAAAAGTACAGGAAGTCATACTATACCCAGTAATACTAATGTTTCTAGTAATGGTTCCCAGGATTTAAATATCATACGAGAATACTTGGAAATCAAAGTTTTGTCTGGTCAAGGATATGTCAGGGGAAAAATAGTAGTAAGACTCAATGTTTCAGAAGGAACTGTATGTAAGAATAGGGTACGAGAAACTGTCACTGCTAACGATGAAAGTGGTTGAGGTAGAGTATCTTAAAGTACTCTGTTTATAACATAAACTGTGGTTGAGTACGGCTTTTTCCAAAGACCTTGCTGTCAAACCAGGTGTAAATGTAACTTCAAGAACAATAAAATACATATTAGTAAGAAGTGATCTTGTGTAGCTGCTAGAACACTGCTGCTAATAAGAAGTAACCAAACCAAAAGGTTAAAATGAGTATCGGAACACAAACAGCTGAATAAAGATAGAGTCACGAGCTCTTTACGGATGAATCGAAGTTCTAATTTGTCGGTATCAATCAACAGCAGTTTATTCTACGACAGAGAGGAGAATGGTATCATAGACAATGTACACTGTCTACAGTGAAGCACGATGAAGGATCAGTACAAGTTTGGGGCTGCATATTTGCCAATTGTGATCTGGATATATCTGACTGTTGACAAATATATCCCATATTCTGATCCATCATCCCATAAGTTAAGCTGTGGTGAAATGATATATTCGTAACAAAGAGACCGATGTAATACTCACAACCAGAGCTTGGCCCACACAAAGTCTCAATACGAACATTCTTGGGATGAATTATGTGAAGCAATAAAGAACATTTGAAACAATGTCATTCAACAGCACACTCATAAACTGTATGGCAGCATAATAATAAACATAATAATGTTTATACTTTTAATCAATTCAATACCCACTTAAATAAATAAATACAGTTAAGAACCACAACCTGTTTTTGTTTAAAAAATAAATATCCTTTAGATTATAAACTGATCCACAGTCTCAATATGTGAGGTACCGAATTCTGTATTTATTTCGTTATGGTTTTGTTTACTTTTCATTTATTATTCCTTCTATTGTGTAGTTAAGCTGTAAATCTTTGTTACATTTAAGCGCTAACTCACCTTCAAACTGATAACGTTGATCTTATATGTGTTTGAATTATAAGATTGACACCAGTTGCTCCTAGCGGTGACGTACAGATATTATTAATATTGCAAAAGAGTATGTAAGTCTATGGTCATATGAAATATAATTTTGTGATCTAACTACTGAATAAAAACCCTATTATAAACTTCGATAAGTTAGATCATGAGATATAGCTGACAGGTATTGTTGTTGTTGATCATTACTCCATGTTGTCAATGATTTTGTAGTTTGGTAAAAAGGGAATTTTGTTATTTTAGAGTAGGTTTTGTTTTTCTTTTGGCTCTTTCTTTTGCTAATTATTTTTATTTATTGAAATATTCACCCTGATAGTTATTGTTTATTGTTCTTTGTTAATACTAAGTCCTAGCTAGGCACATACTTATTAACTGTGTTTTAGGGAAATATAAACTTTGTATTCTAGTTGTTCGAAAGTTTTAATTTTTTACTTCTGTTGGTATTCGTTTAATAAATTCGTATTTTGTTTCAATCCTGGTTGTAGCGGCTGTTTATTTGTGCTTTAGTTCGTTAGAAATACACTCGACATGTTTTAACACTCTTTATCTCATCATCTTCAAAAACAGGTTGGGATTTTTAACTATTTAGTTATGCATGATTTTACACAATAATTTTATCAACATCTCATTATCGTCACTTGTTTGTGATACCTGTATATTTATCATACTTATTTCCATTACTGTATTTATACCAATGTATGTACGACTATGTAATGGCTGAAATTAATTCTTTCATGCCTGGAAAAGTTTCATAACAATTAAAAAAATACTCATTTTGTTATTTACGTTATATCACGTTTGAGTGCTAAACAATAATTTAATTAACAAATTGTTAAATACTCTTATTTTTTATTAGATAAATTCATAAGTTGGAGAAATAAATTATTGTCAACCATGTGAGACATATTAGATGGATTTTAATTACTTATAATAACGAGTAATTTTAAACGTTTCGCAATATTTAAATGGTTACTTTTTTATGTGGCTCACCCTTTCTCTAGTTTTTGTTTTAATGTAATAGTAGTTATTCTTAAGAACTTAATTTTATTGCAATTATATGTCTTAGTCTCCATGGTTTAAAAAGTTTTTCAGTGTCTATAATCAATGGAATTTATTTCTTGAATCAGATTTTATGTACAGAAATTATTGACTCATTTTTTTTGTCCGTAAGATTTTGACATTCAATTATTTGATCATAAAAAAAATTACATTTTAATAAAATAGAATGGAAATTCTGTGCCAATTTTATGGTCTTTATTTTTA